AAGGACTCACTTGCGAGGTGTCCCGGGGCGCCGAGGTTTGTTTGCTAAGAACCGAGACTGAGCGTGTTAGTGTCCGCAAGTTCCCTCCCAAATACTTTTTCTCACCTTTCGTGTGCGGCGAGACCCCCCATTCTTTAACGGCGTCGGCGGGTTGGCGCAGTTAACGTCGTCTGCTTTACGCCTGCTAGTCAAAGCGGTGGCTGCTTTACCTTTCCTGCGTCTGTCGGAGATTCACCGCTTTTTCACCGGCGAGAGTCACCGTTGCCTCGGGAAACAAAGAGATAACAAGAGTAAGAAATTGACCTCTTAATCTAAAACTGAGGTCAGCGATCAAAGTATAATACGGGAAGGGTCCACAAGGCTCGCGCGGGCATATTCCATTCAGCACACCAGCTGGAAGTGGGCAGACGGTCGCCGAGTCGCGGAGTGCCTGCTAAGCCTAACTGCCGTGCTCGCTTGGTCGCATTCGGTGGAATCGTGGCCGTCGGAGCTTTTCCCGGGTATTTGTGGATCCAGCGTTCTTGTTCGTCGTGGTCTGTTTCAAGTACTTTTTACTTTTTTTTTTTTTTTTGCTGCTTGAAGTCGGGACGCGGGAGAAGCGCACGTAGAAACGTCCGTGGGTCGTCGCGACCGCGACGCTGTCGGCCATGCTGATTTGATCGTAAGTGCGTAAGACAGCTTGGGAGCTGTCGTAGGATTTCGTCGTAACCTGCGCAAAACTTACAAAAATTTCGTATCGTGAATACGAATTTGTTCTTAAGTTTTGTCTTACGCACATTTTTGGCGTAAGATCGTTTCGTGAATCTGGCCTCTGCACTTCCGAAAGCCGCAGGAAAGGTAAGACAGACGCAGACGACGTTGCGAGCAGACGACGTTGCAAAGGAGCAGACGACGCTCAGATAGGGGGTCGCGATCAGCCAATCAGGGCTCGGCGTTCTGACGTCACCGCTACCCCCTGCGCAAGAAGCAGACGAACTTGCCCTCCGCATTCCATCAATCTAGCCCGCGGCGCGCGAGCAACTGCCCCTCTTCCCTACTTTATGCAGTCTGTGGTCCATAGCTTTCACTGTTACGAAAACATACCCCCTCCTCTTTCTAAATAACAACCGCATGGCCGAAACTAGAAACCAAAAGAGTGGCTTTTGTGGTGACCCGAATGTACCGTGACCTCTTGTCCCGAGTCAATCTTGACGAGACAAGCGGTAAGGCCAGTTTTGACAACGGTCCGAGATTTGAAAGATATTTGTGGTGGAAATTTTTCAGAACCATTGACTCTGTACAAACCAAAATGTAAGAAAAAAAAACAGTATTTTACTTTCTTTTTTTTTTTTTTGTTTTGCGTGTGTGTGTGTGGGGGGGGGGGGGGGGGGGTAGTTGTCGCATTGACACAAACATTCGGAGTTTATCGGATAAATCCGAAGCGACCAAAATTTTACCGGCGGGTGTTTTTATGAGTTTTCGGATTTATCCGAAAACAGGGAGCCCTACTCATAACCCTTAGCAAAAACAAGACTTTACTTTAAAAACATTTTAAATGCCTTTAATACACGCATTCTTTCGTGTTTTTGTCCGCATTCAAATTCATTTTATTAAACTAAAAAGTATTCCGAATTCAAGATAAATATGATAAGATATATACTCTAAATGCCTTGAAATTAATATTAAAAGCACAATTTAATTTGTATTTATAAATATGCGTGATATACATTTTGATTATACTGATAATATTTAAACATTTCCCCTTTTTGAAACGCAGCTCTTAGGCGTCCGTTTCCGGCTTGAGCAACGTCGGTGTCACCGTCAGCGTAACCGCGCAGTGCATTATGGGACATTTCCCATGATGCACCGCGCGGGGAGGAGGAGGATAGAGGAGGAGGGGAAGGAGTACGAGGAGGAGGAGGAGGAGAGGGAGGAAGGGGAGAAGATGGAGGCAGGGGGAGGGGAGGAGGAGGAGGAGGGGAGGAGGTAGGGGAGGAGGAGGCAGGAGGAGGAGAAGGAGGGGAGAAGAGGGGGAGCTTGAAGGGTGAGGGGAGGTGAAGGAGGAGGAGAAGAGGGGTAGCTTGAAGGATGAGGGGAGGAGGTGAAGGAGGAGGAGGGAGGAGGACGACGAGGAGGAGAAAGAGGAGAGAGGATGGGAGGAGGAGTAGCAGGGACGATGAGGGGTGAGGAGGAGGGAGCAGGGGTTTAGCCTCCCCTCAGTACCCTTGCCTCCTCTTCCTCAAGAGCTGCGCTCTAATTCGGCCTTACAGGGTGTTTCAAACGTCTTTAATATTTTATTATCTTATTTTAGGGGCGAAGCTCTTTAGGGTCTAGCCTTGTCCGTCCGGCGTCCGTGCTCACATCGATTGCCCATTCCCCCACCCCACCTGTCTTCCTAAAAAAAAGAAAAAAATGTTTGCGCAGTCGACAGGATTCCAACCTGTGCGGGGAGATCCCAATGGATTTCTAGTCCATCGCCTTAACCACTTGGCCACGACTGCGGGACGAGTAGGGGGCTCTGAGATGTGGTAGTAACTCAAGAGCTGGGGTTTCTGTCATGGAGGAAACGTTGCATGTGGCCGCTCAACGTCTATACAGGAAAGGGCGCTGCGGTCAAATGCGTATATAATCGCGTTAAACTTAAAAATGAGCAATAAAAAAAAATCAGCACCATCAACACTACTTATGAACAAAATCAGTACCATCAGCACCACCAGAGCTTCGCCCCAATCAACATCATTCACCACGTGGAGATGCGGTAATTTTTTTAAATGTCCTTCAACCATATTTAAGCGTATTCAATTTATATTTACTGAAATATACATAAAATTCACTTTAAATCTGCTTACACTGCACTTATGCGTTTAAATGTATTTGAGGAGCACTTGGAGCCTACCTTGACCACACGTGTTTTGAGCGTATTTCCAGGAACCTAATTTTAATCGTAAGTAAAATACTGAAGAGTTTATCTTTAGTATACGTTTAGTGTAAAAAATATTGTGAAAGAAACACATTTCAAACATATTAGTTTTCGCTAAGAGAATGTATACTTTAACAGCTTAAAATTGCAACTTTAATAGATCGAGCAGACCTTTGTTGTTTTTATGTATCCACTTATACCGCCCACGTAGAAGACAGCCTATTAATACCTAATTGGAGTGTTCTGATTAGGAGAAAAAAGCTCAGTCGTCAATTTTAAGTGATTAGTCAACCAATTATCATGTTTCCACGCGTGTTCCTATACCGGCTAATATATTCAGAGCTACCCCAAATGTTTTTTTTTGTTTTGTTTTTTTTACATATCCGTCTTTTTAAAACTATTTTCAGTTTCAAACACACTTTCGCATATTTATTTCTTCAGCAATTTTTAGACACGCTGCCTGATGCGCTGAGCTTTTAAGTAAATAGAGATGGCACCAGGAAATTGAGAAGGCATATTAAGACTTACATGTTTAAATGGAATAGACTACGCTGATCCCAGTATATTAAAAACATTTCATTTCTTAAGTTTACAACAATCCTCAAACTCAATTATCTTTCAATTATCGTCCAATCCGAATTCACAGATCCGAAATATCCTCATCGGTGTTCTTGTAGAAATAACCAACTTTGAGCGCTCTTAAACGAGAAGCTTAATTTCTTAAAGGAATGTCTAGTTATTTCCAAAAACTTAACTGAAGCCGTCGGAAATAGTTAGTCTGCCCCATTATGGCCGATTCATTTCACTGACTCATCCGCAGAGGGATTGGACGACACGTCCGCGTTCGTCCGCCTCATAAGCGCATCCACGCAAAGGAGACGACGAGCAAACGACAGCGAGGACGCACGATCCCACAGTGCCAAGAAACTCCAACATCGCACGATCGCAATGTGGCACCGTTCTCCAAGAGCGAAGTCGACGTTTGCTACCGCGATCATGAATCGTGTAACGCCGTTGAGTGCAGAGCGAGACAGAACACCGTGATAGGCTTAGCGCGACGTGCCACTAGCCTTACCAACCCAACGCATAACATGCAGTGACACAAGCATGGCCCTGCTCGATGAGGCTTCGGCGTAAAGGCGATGAAGTTCTGGGTTCGCAAAGGGGCGTTTGCAGATATATCTTCGCGCACACCGCGCTCGCGCACAACACTTCAGCACACCACAGCAACAAGAAAGGATTTTCTCGGTGAAAGGTTGATTGGACGTGCAAGAAAGATCGCATCGTGCTAGGCGATTTTGACAGAAGCTTCTTGACGCGGGACTGGAGGAGTGCCGAAACATGGCCAACTTTCTGGGTTAAACGGACGGCCGAGGAACGCCGTCCGTTTCTGACCTATTGTACCCACGCAGTGCCGGAGATCTCATGGACGCCTCTTTAGATTTGAAACCCGCCGCCCAACCGTAACAGCGCGCTCAAGTGATTTTTTTTTTCTCCCTGCGCTTGGCGTTTGATTCTGCTTCCATATGTTTGCTTTCTTGCATATATCTTTTTACTTTCATTTTTCCTGACGTCACGTCCTTCTCGCCCAATTGGCCGCTTACAGCTCTGCGGAGTGTGATATGTCCTCACATGTATGCCATCTCCTGACGAAGCCGAGCTTCTCGGCGAAACTGTCGTAATATAAACAATAAACTTCCTAGTATAGCAACCCCGAAAGTACGTATCTTTGACTTTTCACATTTTCCCGGTCTATTGTTCTCAAACTACCCTGCCTCACCTATATATATTCTCTTTGTTCTGACAAATTATTTTAACAAAACAGTCACAACAATGAATACCTTAAAACTCTGAATATTGTTTAATTTTTACCAGATATGTTATTTCATGATTACCCAGAGGCCTTTTAGTTTTGGCCACCCCGTCCTTTCCTATATCCCCTCCACTTTTTACCTTCCCCAACTTGGCTCCCCTCGCAGCTTAGGAGAGAGGAGCACTAAGAGGGCTATCTTCCCTGCAGAAACCCGAGGCTGTGCGTCGGCCTTTAAGTGAATATAAGCAAACAATCTACAAGAATATTCACACGCACTTCTATTTGCAGAGGAAATTGTAACCCACCAAGACTGTCGGACGAATTTGGACTGGGGAAAATGTGAAGACAAAAAGAAAGGAAGGCCAAAAAAAGGAGTTTATAGGTGGTACTTCAACAGCACCGACTCCAATTGTCATAAGTTTCTCTGGTATCGCTGTACTGGCAATAGAAATAACTTTCCTACGAAACAAGATTGTAAGGTATGCCAAACAGGTAGGCTTCCGTTTTATAATGTTTATACAACAAGGTCATATTAACACCTATTAATATTCATCAGTCCCTTAGAGAGCAGCAATGGTATGTCAAGCGGCGCAGCATAAAAATAAGATATGTTTCTCAATTAAAAATAGCTTCCTGACAGGACAAAACTACATACAGTACTATACTTATTTTATTTATTCTCGCACAGAGTAGGCTCAGTGACCTAGAGGGCTTTCTGGTCAACGCAAGAGAGTCACTGAGTATTAAGAAATTTCAAAGCTTTTTTTATTTCTTGCATTTTTGTGCAAACATTATGTAGAAACTATTTACCATAGTCAAACAATTAAGTCACACTCAGGTAGCACAGCTCTTTGGGCCAAAATTTGGTTTTTGTCAAAGAATTTAGGGGCATAAAGGCTCGATGAAGCCCAGGTAGTGCCAAACGTGACCTTCTTTTCCCAGAGTCTTGGTATATTCACCCTAATTCGCCAAAACAAGTGCCAAAGTTAGGCGTCACACTAGGTAGTCTGGCCGTAACCTGGCACCTTTGGGCCTGAATCACCAAACATGTGCCAGCGTTAGGCCTCACGTCTGGTAATTCGTTTTCATGTGCCACTTTGAGCCAAAATTGCCAAACAAGTGCTAGCGTAAAGCTTCACCGCTGGTTCTTCGGTTCATACGTGGCAAATTCGGCACAAGTCTAATGCTTTGGCAAGTCTGTGGAGAGCCAGAAAAAAGCCACATAAACGCGAAATAAATGTACTTTGCCACTAACTAACGCATTGGAGAAAAACCGTATTAGGCCCAAGTTAGGGTTTTATACGATTGCCATGCTTGTGCAAAGTTAGGCGTTTTTCGGTAGTGCTACATGAACCTTTTGAATAGTTTAGAAAAAAAAAACATTTAAAGCTGCAATAGAGTAACTGATCATATCTTTAACTAATACGGTGGTACACGGCGACACAGTTAGCACAAACAAGATACCGTAAGTATTTTATTTTGATCATATTTAGAGTTTTTGTAACAACATTTGACTGGGTGTAGGAACAAATGATCCCGGAACTAATAGTCCCGGAACTTATGGTCCCGGAACTTATGGTCGCGGAACAAATGGTCCCGGAACAAATGGTCCCGGAACTAATTGTCCCAAGTCCAAGGTAGGACAAAATGGCCCCATGAGAAGATTGTTTTGAAACTAAGACACACCGTGCAATATACTTCACCCGTTATGCAATCATTGATTGCCTGGTGGAATGTAGAATCTCGTCAATATTTCAAAGCCGGTTACTTCGAAGAAATTGGTCGGGTATCGAACTTAATTTTATTCAAATTCATCAAAATATTTTCGAACGAAAAATTTTTGAAACGAAAAATGAGCATCCCTAG